TGGGAACCGCACGTGCGGTTCCGCACGTGCGAGAGAGGAGACCGCATATGCGAGGGTTAGTTTGAGGGGCAGTTTCCGCAGAAGCGGTCGAGGAGGCCGCATCTGCGAAGCCGCAGATGCGGAAGGGCTGTCGCAGAAGCGACTTTTGGATTTTAAGTGAGATCCGCAGAAGTGGACTTGTGACCGCAAATGCGGTACCGCAGAAGCGGTGGAGGGGTCGCAGATGCGAAAACCCCTGGGCAGACTGTATATAAATCCTTTCTTCGCTATTTTTGAAGGGTTTCACCATTTTAACTTCGGACTGAGAGCTTTTGGTCGAATTTGAAGGGAGATTTCAAGAGAACTTCGATAAGGTAAGGGTTTTGGACCTAAAGCACACTTCTATGGTAATATTTCATGGATTGGGACTGAAATTTAAGGAATTTAAGGACTAAAAACGGAGGTTTAGGGCTTGAGTTTAAGAGGGCTTAAATTGAGGATTTGAGGGGTCAATTGGACTCCGATTCTTGTGTTTTTGATATGTATGAACTCGTGGGGTGATAAGAAACCTGTTGATGTAAAAATTTCTGAGTTTCGAGAAGTGGGCCCGGGGCTCGGGTTTTGCTAATTTCGGGATTTTTGATATTTTTTCGATTGTTTTCGCTTGGGCTTTGTTCCCTTATCATATTGTGATGTATTCGTTCTGATTTTGGATAGATTCGACGCACGAGGAGGCCAATTCGAAGGGCAAAGGCGTCGCGAGCTAGGGATTTAGCCGGTTCGAGGTGAGTAATGCTTGTAAATGATGTTCTGAGGGTTTGAAACCTCGGATTGCACATCGTAGTGCTATGTTGAGGTGACTTGCACGCCGGACAGCGAGCGTGGGGTAGAGCACCGTTGGGGATTGTGACTTAGTCCATCCCGATTGATGATTTTACTACGTATTTGATTGAAATCAATTTGCTATCATCATTATTTGGGCCGAATGCCATACTTGGGCTCCGTGCCAATTATTTGAACCCTTCGGGGATTGTTGTTGATGTTTCCTCACTGTATTGACTTTATACTTGAACTGAACCATGTTATTTCCACTGTTTTCAAAACTCAGCCACGTTTACTCTGTTTTAATACTCAAATAATATTTAAATGATGTTTTGGGCTGAGAGATACTGTTTTACTGTTGCCCGAGAGGCTTATGTGATTTTTGACTGAATAAGGCCGAGGGCCTGTGTTGTGAGGATATTTTTGGGATCGGGCTGCACGCCGCAGCGGTGAAACACTGATATTGATATGAGGCCGAGAGCCTGTTTATGATGCCACGAGATGTCTTGTTATTGCGCTTGGGCCGTAAGGGGCCCCTCCCGGAGTCTGCACACACCAGTGAGCGCGGGTACCCAGTGTGATGTGAGATTGAGCCCGAGGGGCTGTTATTGTTTTGAGATGTTGCCCGAGGGGCTGTTGTTGTTCTGAGATATTGCCCGAGGGGCTGTTATTGTTCTGAGTTGTTGCCCGAGGGGCGGATGTGGTGATACTGTGCCCGAGGGGCGAGCTTTTATTTATTTACCGTACCTTAATTATCTGTCATAAATCTGTTTACTTGTTGAAAGAGGATTTTACTGGATTTCCACTGGTTTTACTGCTTTTAAATGATTTTACTGCTTCATCATAGAATGCTTTGTGCCTTTCGTGATTTCTTACTTTTAGTTATTATTTACATTTATTACTCACTGAGTTGGAGTACTCACTTTACTCCCTGCACCCTGTGTGCAGATTCAGGCGTATCAGGTTCCGCTCCGGAGTGTTGATTTCCTCCAGTTTCAAGCGGGCTTCTTCGGAGATTACGAGGTAGCTGTTGACGTCCGCAGCCCGTGTCTCTATCTCTCTATCTTTCCTGTTCTTTTCGAACAAATGTAGTAGCTTATGACTTAGCAGACTGTATTATGGATTCATAGATGCTCGTGACTTGTGACACCCCGGTTAGGGTTGTGTCGGGTTGGATTTTTCCGCATTTTTATCGTTATTTCCGCTACTCAGTGTTAGTAAATTATGTTTTAAACTATTATGTGTTGTTTAACTGTTTTAAAATATGAGTTGGGTTGAACTGGCTGGCCTTGTCTTCATGAGAGGTGCCATCACGATGTTAGGGTCGTGACATCAGTCTTCTCGTCCAAGATGGACAAACTGTGTTGACATACTACACAAAATTAAAGGCGTTATGGGATGAATTAAACGATCTTGACCCTTTACCCGAATGTAATTGTGTGGCCAGACAAGAGCATCAACGGAGGCAAGAGGAAGAGAGGGTTTATCAATTCCTTATAGGTCTTGATTCAGGACTCTATGATGGCGTGAAATCTCAGATATTGAATGCTCAACCCATAGTAAATCTAAGGAAATCATATGCTATGGTGGTCAGGGAGGAAGGACAACGAAATATTGGGTTGCAAAAAGAGAAGCAAAACAAGAAGGGTCAGCCTTTCATATTACCGGGAACATGATTATGCAATCTGGAAAAGGGGCAATGAAGGAAACGCGTCTCAGATGCACTCACTGCCAGAAGGTTGGCCATGAGAAGAGCCAGTGCTTTGAGATTGCTGGTTACCCTCCCAACTGGAACACGAGGAGATCTACAGTAAAAGGCAACTACAATGGGCGTCCAAATTCAGGGGGAGCTGCTGGACGTGCATCCCATGTCGCTGCTGTTCAAGAACAAACAACAGGTCAATTGGGTTTGACGATGGAATAAGTCAACCATCTCTTCAACTTGTTCAAGGAGAAACAACAAGAAGACCAAGTAACAACCCAAATGAGTGGTAAGATGCAACAAAGATGTTGGGTAATTGATAGTGGAGCATCTCATCACATAACTCCACATAAATCAATTCTCAAGAATATCTATGTGTTACATAAGCCAATAAAAATCATAATGCCTGACGGGGGAAGGCTGAAAGCACTAGAGGCAGGAAGTGCAAAGATATCAAACACCTTGACCCTTAGCCATGTCCTATACATTCCTGCTTTTACTTGTAATTTAATATCAATCCATTAATTAACAAGGGACAATGCTTGCTCAATATTATTTGATTCTGTTGGTTGTATAATGCAGGAACATTCACTGAAGAGGCAGATTGGACTGGGTAAAATCACTGATGGGGTTTACTGTTTAGAAGGCATAGCACCAAGTTGGAGTCTAGCTGCTGTTCGAAGCGAAGACGAAGGTCTTTGGCATGCAAGATTAGGACATCCTTCATATGCAAGCATGGTTAAATTATTTAGTTTAGTTAATGTTGAGTTTAGCAAAAACTCTAGTTTGTCTTGTGATGTTTGTTATAGAGCAAAACATACAAGGACACCATTTGATGATAGTAATAATAAAGAGACCAGACCATTTGCTTTGATTCATTGTGACATATGGGGGAGATATAAAACTCCTTCTTTGCTGGGAGCACATTATTTTCTCACAATTGTCGATGATTATAGTCGAGGGGTATGGGTTTATCTTCTTAAAGAAAAGAGTGAAACATGTAATTTGATAAAGAGATTTTGTGCGATGGTTGAAAACCAATTCGGCCTAAGAGTGCAAAAAGTCAGAAGCGACAATGGCATGGAGTTTGTAGGAACATCCTTGAAGGCATTCTATAGAGAAAAGGGAATAATTAGTGAAACGTCCTGTGTAGGAACACCCCAACAAAATGGGAGAGTTGAGAGAAAACATCGACATATTTTAATTGTAGAAAGAGCATTGCGAATTCAAGCAAATCTGCCACTATACTTTTGGGGAGATTGTGTGCTTACAGTAGCACATCTAATCAATAGAACTCCTACGAAGGCAAATGAGGGTAAAACACCATATGAATTACTCTTCAATAGAACACCCGGGTACAATCATTTGAGAACTCTAGGATGTCTATGTTATGCTAGACCAAGTCATGGGCAAAAAGACAAGTTTGGGGAAAGGGCCTTAAGATGCATCTTCATAGGGTATCCTCAAGGACAAAAGGGTTGGAAAGTGTATGATGTCGCGCAAAGGACTTCCTTTGTTTCACGAGATGTGGTGTTTGAAGAGAAAATATTTCTTTATGTCACTCAACAATTGACAATCAGTGAGCCTAGAGAAGTAACAAAAGCTTTCAAGCATACTGATGTCTTATTCAATGGAGGGAAGACACGAGAAAGTATGAAGAAAGAATAATAAATGAAGGAAATGAGCAGCATGTTAACCAAGCTGAAGATGATCGAGTGATTGAAGAACCAAATACACTAGAGCAAGGTAACAATCTGGATCAATCTGATGTTGAAGCAGCTAACACAAGGCCGACTCAAACCAAGCAACAACCTGAATATCTCAAAGATTATGTGTGCCATGCTACTTCTAAACAAGCCTCAAAGGTGGATGCTCACCAAACAGCCTCTTCAGGTAATGACTATCCCTTATCAAAATACTTATCCTATGGCAATTTTTCTTCCTCTCTCTATGCCTTTCAAGCAGCCATCACTGGACATGATGAGCCCAAAACATATCTTCAGGCAATAAAAGACCAGCGTTGGAGGGAGGCGATGGCAAAAGAGATCTCAGCTCTTGAAAGCAACAACACATGGGATCTTAAAACACTCCCTCCAGGCAAGAAAGCTGTAGGTAGCAAATGGGTATTCAAGATTAAATATCAAGCAGATGGAAAAATTGAACGCTACAAAGCGAGGCTAGTTGCAAAAGGATTCACTCAGGTAGAAGGAGAAGATTACAACGAGTCTTTTGCACCTGTAGCAAAAATGGATACAGTACGCTGCTTACTTGCAATTGCAGTGGCTAAAAGCTAGTTCATTAGTCAACTGGATGTGCATAACACATTCCTACATGGAGACTTAGACGAGGAAGTGTACATGCTCCCACCAGCAGGATATAAAGTGGATTCCCTAAACTTAGTGTGCAAACTGAAGAAATCCTTGTACGGATTACGCCAGGCTTCGCGAAATTGGTTTGCTAAGTTGTCAAGTGCCTTGGAAAGTTATGGCTTTCAGAGATGTCTAGTGGAGCATTCCCTTTTTGTCTAGTGGAGCATTCCCTTTTTGTATATGCAAAAGGAGATATCATATTGACTGTATTGGTGTATGTGGACGACATAATATTGACTGGCAATGATGACGGTCAATGCAAATTGTTCAAGGAATACTTGCATAACTGTTTCCATATCAAGGACTTGGGCAAACTTAAATACTTCTTGGGTATTGAAGTTTCTAGATCACCAAAAGGTCTATTCCTAAATCAACGAAAATATGTGCTGGATATACTTAAGGAAGTTGGCTTGACGAATGCAAAACCCAGTTCTACTCTAATGGAACAGAGACATCGTCTCTCTGAAGAAGCCGACGAACCTCTCACGGACCCCTCACAGTACAGAAGGTTGGTTGGACGCTTGTTGTACCTCATAATTACGAGGCCAGACATAACATATGCTGTCCACATTTTGAGCCAGTTTATGCAAAGTCCCAAGCAGGATCACTGGATACATGCGATCAGAATGTTATGATATTTGAAGTCTAACCCATGCCAAGGAATTCTATTCCCAACCAGTAACACCTTGCAACTAATGGCGTACTGTGACTCTGACTGGGCAAGCTGTCCAATGACATGTCGCTCCATTTTTGGGTATTTCATTATGCGAGGGAGCTGCACCTATTGCTTGAAAATCAAAGAAACAGACTAAAGTGTCGCGCTCATCAGCTGAAGCGGCGTACAGGTCGATGGCACATGCGACAAGTGAAATTATATGGTTAAGAGCTTTGCTGCAATTCCTACATGTACCACAAGTGTTTCCTACCAGATTTTTTTGTGACAATCAAGCTGCCTTACACATAGCAGCTAATCGAGTTTTTCACGAACGAACAAAACACATCAAAGTCACTTTTTGTACGAGAACGCATAGTCTCTGAAGATTTAGTTACCTGCCATATCTCCAGCATCAGTTAGCAGATTTTTTCACTAAGTCTTTGGGGGCTCAAGAATTCCATTGTCTACTAGGCAAGCTGGGCATGTATAATCCACATGCTCCACCTTGAGGGAGAGTATTGGAAGACTTAGAATAGGACTCCTTCTACTGTATAGTTTGTATAGGACTCTCTTCTTTATTACACAGTCTATTTGATCACGTTTGATAAGCCTCCGCAACATTGTATATATAGAGTCTTGTTTATTAATAAAATCAGTGAAGCAAGCAGCTTCTTCTCATAAACTCTATCACTAGTTTTCACAAACCAAAAGAAGTTTTAAAGAAAAAGAAAACACCAGAGAGAGAGAGAGTTCTTTGCGCAAAATGGGTACTATGTGAAGGGAGGATATTTGATTAAGCATGTTTCACACTTTAACATTTTTTGTTTTTTAATAAAAAAAAGGTCAGTGATCAAAGAGCGTTCAAACTTTAAATTATCAAAAACTTACTAAATAAATCAAGATTAAGGGTATGCTAATAGTCAAAAAACTGAAGAAGAGTCTCAAACTCTTAGTTCTCATTGCCAAGTCAGAGTCAAAGTGATTGTTGAAAAAGGTTGTTGCAGAAGGATTTGTATTTTACTATTTGTGGAGCGATAATTTGCAAATTGAAGCTTTTAATTTTAATGGAGGAATTTGAATTAGAATAAGATTAATTAAGTTGATTATTATGTATTAGTACTAAACTATAACTGAATTCAAAAGGAAGAAGATAAAAGTAAGAAGTAAAGCAATTTGCTATTAAGTATAAATTACGTTGTATTCATTCAAAGAACTAAAATAAAAGGGAGGAGAAAAAGTTGAAGAGGGTTCCAAACCCACCTTTTCCATCAAAGGAGGGACTCTAAGTCCCCACAACAACCCACTTCTCCTGTCAGCCTTTTTGTGCTTGGGGGCACAAATAAAATATTTAAGGGGTCCCATATATATGTACATATATATATAACATGTAAATACAGAGTTTTTGCCGAGGCTAATGGGGTCTCGTGACGCCTCAACCTACAACGTAGGTCCGCCTCAATTGACAAGGTTGGACCATCAAGGATAATTTGTGTTGTGGTAAAAAATACTCCCTCCGTTTCAAATTAAATGAGGTAGTTTGACTCGGCACGGAGTTTAAGGAAAAAAAGAAAGACTTTTGAAATTTGTGGTCTTAAAAGCTTAAGGGGTAAAGCTTTGTGGGGCCATGACTTTTGTGTGGTTATAAAAGCTTCTCATTAAGGGTAAAATGGGTAAAATGAGGAGTATAAAGTTGAATTATTTCCAAATTTAGAAATGTGTCATTTATTTTGGAACAGACTAAAAATGAAAGTACCTCATTTAATATGAAACGGAGGGAGTAGTGAATTTTTTGAGATGATGTCACGACCCCAAACCACCCCGATCGTGATGGCGCCTATCGCAATACTAGGCCAGTCTATTCGACATTTACAACATAAAAGGATCTTTTTCTTAATTCATTTACTAGTCAGATATTATCACAAATCTTTTGTTTAAACATCTCAAAACAAGCGGAAAATATGCAAAAAACATTAAACGCTGCCCGATCCTGGTGTCACTACTCATGAGCCACTAAAATACAATCTGATAATGTCTACTCAATACAAGATGAGTTTGATAAAACAAATACTAAAAGATAGGAAGGAGAAAGGCAGGGCTGCGGACGCCATGCAACTACCATGCTAACTCCGGAAATGCTCTGAAAGAAAGAAACAGCTCTCACTCGGATGCTCTGGCACCTGGATCTGCACACAAGGTGCAGGGAGTAACGTGAGTACGCCAACTCAGTAAGTAACAATCATAAATAAAGGCTAAGTGCAGTGACGAGCATCTAAAATCATGTACTTCTCATAACATAAAAACCTCAGTGGAAATAATAAGATCGAATCGGTAATTAAATTATGAACATCCAGTAAGAACTCCAGTTTCAATGAAAGTTGTTTAAAACATTTGTTCAACATTTCCAATAGGGGATTAGTATAAAAGAAGAGTGAAAACAGTAAGTTCATAAAACAAGCCCCTCGGGCAAGGTATCACTCATATGTATAGCCCCTCGGGCAAGCCTCTCAGTCACTTGTGACTCAACTCTCATCAATCACACTCACACTCACCACTCACGCTTAATAGATATCTTATAACAACCGCTGCGGCATGCAGCTCGATCCATAAACATAAAGTCGACTACGCTCATTGGGGGTGTACAGAGTCCGGAGGGACTCCTACAGCCCAAGCGCTATATCGCTGTGGCGTTATATATATATATATATATATATATATATATATATATATATATATATATATATATATATATATATATATATATATATATATATATATATATATANCATTGTGTTCCTAGCGCTTCATGTGTATATATATATATATATATATATATATATATATATATATATATATATATATATAACGCTGCGGCGTGCAGCCCAATCCATAACTATCCTCACAATCCAGCCCTCGGCCTCACTCACTCATGAGCCTCACAAGCCACTCGGACATCTCAGTGCAAACTCAGGGAACTCAGCCCAAAACACTTTCATAAATATTAAAATAGAGTGATGAACAAGATTAAACAGTAAACAGGTATAAACCATGACTGAGGATAAAGCTTTCTATCAAAAATAATGTGAGGATAATAGTAATGTGCGCCTGAGGGTCCAAACAGTACGGCACAAGGCTCCAAACATGGCATTCGGCCCAAGTTAACAAAATTATTTCTAAAACACATAGATATCATAGTAGAGTTTATCAAAATATGCAACTCTACAGTTGCCACGGGATGGACCAAGTCACAATCCCTACGGGTGCACGCCCACACGCCCGTCACCTAGCATGTGCGTCGCCTCATTTATCAAAATAGTATGAAATTTTGGGGTTTCATACCCTCAGGTCTAGATTTACAATCGTTACTTACCTCGAACCGGACGAAAATCTACTCTGCAATGCCTTTGCCTCTCGACTCGGCCTCAAATCACCCCGAATCTATCCAAAATTAGAATCATATCATCAATACATGCCAGAGGAACAAAGCCCACGCGAAAATTATCAAATTAAATCAAAATTCCCATATTGGCCAAACCCCGCCCCCGGGGCCACGTCTCGGAATCCAATAAAAATCACATCACTAGAATCCTTATCCTCTCACAAGTTTATACATACCAAAATCATCATAATCGGACCTTAAATGGCCCCTCAAATCCCCAATTTAAACTCTCCAATTTCAAGCCCTAATCTCCCAATTTCTTTCCTAATTTTCCCACTAATATCATGATTAAATAATGGAATAATCGTCATAAACACAAGATACAAGGACCAAGTAGCTGACCTCACTGAAAGCACTTGATTCTCTCTTGAAATCACAGCCCCCAAGCTCCAACTTGTCCAAACATGGTGAAGAAAATTGCAGAAATTCACGAAGTGAGGCTTTTATAGTTTTTGCCCAGCGATTTTCGCATATGAGGGCTCCAAGTCGCTTCTGCGATGCCGCACCTGCGGAAAAGCCATTGCAGGTGCGATTTTCACTTAACTCTTAAAATCCCGCTTCTGCGGTCAACACCCGCATCTGCGGTCTCGCAGGTGCGGTCCTTTGTGTGCACCTGCGGATTTGCCTCAGCTTTCAATTCTCCGTATCTGCGGCCTCGCTCATGCACCTGCGGCCTCGCACCTGCGGTCCCCAATCCGCAGGTGCGGATATGACAGTAGCAGCAGCTTCAACTGCTCAAAACCAAGTCCAATCTTTCTGCTAACCATCCGAATTCATCCCGAGGCACTCGGGGCCCCAACCAAAAATACCAACAAGTCACATATCACTATTGAAACTTATTCCAATCTTCGAAACACTAAAAACGACATCAAAACACCAAATCACCCTCGGATTCAAGCCTAAGGATTTCCAAACTTCCGAATTTCGCAAACGATGCAAAAACCTATCAAACCTCATCCGAATGACCTGAAATTTTGCACATACGTCACAAATGACACAACGAACCTACTCCAATTTCCGGAATTCCATAGCCCCCGATATCAAGATTTCCACTGCTTACCGGAAAACTCCAAATTTCCAATTTTGCCAATTCAAGCATAAATCTACCACAGACCTCCAAATTACATTTCGAACACGCTCCTAAGTCCAAAATCACCTAACGAAGCTATCCTAACCATCAGAATTCACATCCGAAACCTTTTACACATAAGTCAACATCCGGTTGACTTATCTCGCTTAAGCTCCTAAATTAGAGACTAAGTGTCTCATTTCACTCCAAGACCATACCGAACAATAAACAACCAACACGATATGATGAAATACATGAACAACACATAACGAAACAGAAATGGGGAAAACGGGGCTGTAACTCATGAAACGACCGGCTGGGTCATTACATCCTCCCCCTCTTAAACAAACGTTCGTCCTTGAACGAGTCAAGAAACATACCTGAAGCCTCAAACATGTGTGGATATCTGCTCCGCATCTCCTGCTCGGTCTCCCTAGTAGCCTCCTCCACGGGCCGACTACTCCACTTCACTTTC